ACTCTAGGTATTGACCACGTTCTGTGGATTCTGAGTGGAGGCCCCTGCACCCTGGGCTTCAGCTCTGCCTTCCAGGCCCACTGGAATGGCAGCTGATGGTAAACCTTATGTTTGTTGTGCCTTGCTGTGTCATCTTTCCATAGAAGAAATCTTTTTTGCTGTTGTTTTTTCATTTATGCCATTTAGAATATTTACTTTTATAACTTTTAATATAAAAATTTAACTAATTTTTTAAAGTTAAATTTGGCCAGTAAGTTTGGAAATATGTAGTTTTTTTTACTTATTATAATTCATTTTATATATACCATTATAATTTAATGGTTTGACATTGTTTTTTGTCTGATAGGGAAAATAGTAAAATTTAGCTAAATTGCTTAAGATAGTGGTTTTCAACCTAGATTGCATGTTAGAGTCATCTGGGAAGCTTTCAAAAATGTTGGTGTCCAGGCCCTGCCCCAAGCTAATTACTAAATCACAATTTCTGGTTATGGACCTAATTATTACAATTTTGGAAAGGCTCTTCATCTCTAAAGTGGTGATAATAACACCTACTTAGCTTATCTTACAGGGTTGTTCTGAGAATAAATTAAAAAATATTCAAAAGCTATTGATAAAGTGAGATTTGAAATAAAAATGTAAAGTGATATTAAAGCATTATAAACAGAGTTACCGTGCCCTCATGGGATAGTAGTTGAACACTCGGCTGCTAACTGAAAGGTCAGAAGTTCAAACCCACCAGCGGCTCTACGGGAGGAAGATGTGGCAGTCTGCTCCCATAAAGATTACAGTCTTGGAAACTCTATGGGCAGTTCTGCTCTGTCCAGTAGGGTTGCTATGAGTTGGAATCAACGCCATGGCACACAACAACAACAGCCTGTCCTTGTGGGGCTCACTATTTGCTTAGAGAAACAGGACAAAAGCATAGAAGGTTCAAGGTAACATGCCACATTACTAAATGGACATAGTAGAGAAAAGGTATACTTGGAATCCCATTCCGACCACAGGGTGTAGGCAGTCCTTAGTGATTATGTGCCATGACCATTTCTAGTAGTTCTCAAACATTTCTACCTCAAGCTTTTTTGATGATTGTTAGAACAAAGACTTTGTTGGGATTGGGTAGGAGGGTAAAAAAGGGAGTCTTGTCTAGGGCTGTTGTCTAAAACTGCTTACCTCAAACTTCCATTCATCGAGTCATTCAACAAAATATTTATTGCCCACTATATGCCAGCCACTGTTTCAGGAATTTTTTTAAATTGTGCTTTAGTTAAAAGTTTACAGCACAAATTAGTTTCTCAGTTAAAAATTTATATACAAATTGTTTTATGACATTGGTTGCAATCCCCGAAATGTGTCAGCCCTCTTCCCCTTCCCACCCCGGGTTCACCGTGTCCATTCGTACAGTTTTCTTGTCCCTTCCTGCCTTCTCATCTTTGCTTTTGGGTACCTGTTGCCTGTTTGGTCTCGTATACTTGATTGAACTAAGAAGCACATTTCTCATGTGTGTTACTGTTTGTTTTATAGGCCTGTCTAGTCTTTGATTGAAAGGTGGACTTTGGGAGGGGCTTCAGTTATGAGTTAGCAGGATGTTCGTCGGCCATAGTCTCAGGGGTCCCTCTAGTCTCTGTCAGACCAGTAAGTCTAGTCTTTTTTTGTGAATTTGAATTTTGTTCTGCATTTTTCTCTTGCTCTGTCCAGTAGCCTTTAGCATTTTTTTTTAAAAAACCTCTTTGAAAGGCAGTACAAAGTAGAATTAATGTCATAGGTCCCTGGATTTGAATCCTGACTCTGCAACTTCCTAGTTTTGTTATGTTGGGTAAGTTTCAATTTTTCTATGACTCAATATTCCCACTTACATAAGAGGGATGATGATAATATTACTTACCTCCCAGAGTTGTAGGAGGTTTAATATGTTAATGAATGTAAAGTGCTTCAAACGGTGCTTGGTTAATAATAAGAGGTATATATATGTTTGTGTTCCTGATAGTGCAAACAGTTAAGCACTTGCCTGCTGACCAAAAGGTTGTTGGTTCAAGTTCACCCAGCACCTCCTCAGTAGAAAGGCCTGGTGATCTACTTCCATAAAAATTAGCCATTGAAAACCCAATAGAGCACATTCAACTCTGACACATACAGGGTTGCTTTGAGTCGGATCAACTCAACAGGCAACTGGTTTATATATGTGTTTGCTTATATCTTTGCATTCTACTCTATAATGTTCTTCATTTCTTTTAATATGAAGATAATACTTTAAATAAGCTATCAATAAATGAAGACTTCATCTTACATACTTTGGACATGTTATTAGAAGGGACCAGTCTGTGGAGAAGGACATCAGGCTTGGTAAAGTAGATGTAGCAAAAAAGAGGAAGACCCTCAACCAGATGGATTGACATGGTGGCTGCAACAATGGGCTCAGGCATAACAAAGATTGTGAGGATGGTGCAGGACCGGGCAGTGCTTTGCTCTATTGTATGTAGGGTCGTCTCTATGAGTTGGAAACAACTCCATGGCACCTAACAGCCACAACAACAAATGAAGACTGGTGCTCAAAAAAACCCCGCATATATCCTGCTCCCAACACATGCTCAAACATATGAATCCCAGTTGTCAAAGGCACCATCTTATTTAAGATAGGAAAGAGCTAAGAAACTTTTTACAAAGACTTTGGGTTGTGTTTATAGAGTAGCCTTGTTGGTGTCCAGAGATTTTCTTCAGTTCACTGGGAATCCTCTCATCTCCCACCCATCATCCCTGGAGTGACTCTAGTGACCGTAGTAGGTCTGTGGATCTGCTAGGAGACCTTTGCATCCTATTCTATGCATTCTTGTTTCCAGAGAACTTATGGTGAGGGAATTGACTCAGGGCCGTCAATGGAACTGCCTCACTCCTACTTCTTATCACCCGGAATGAGAGCCACCATCATTCAGTGCAGTAACAGCTAACAGTTGAGCATTTACTGGGTTCCAGGCAGGATTCTAAGTATTTTAAATGTATTATCTCATGTAATCCTAGTGGGTACCATTACTCTTCAGAGTAATAGATGAGGCATTGGGGCACAGGTACATCCAGTGGTGTTCTACAGCCAACTCACACCAGCTGCGGGAGGCATTTGTTCACATGTCTTCCCAACTCTATATTCAGTAAGGTCACCTTGTAGGTTGAAATTGGTCATGGTAAGAGTATTTGCAGCACCACCCATAAAACTCGTTGCTATCAAGTCGATTCCGACTCAGCGACCCTATATGAAAGCATAGAACTGCCCCATAGGGTTTACAAGGCTGTAATCTTTATGGAAGCAGACTGTTGCATCTTTCTCCCGTGGAGCGGCTGGTGGATTTGAACCGCCAACCTTTCAGTTAGCAGCTGAGTGCTTAACCCTGTGCCACTAGGGCTTCTTATCTGCAGCACAGATATGGGCAAATTGCTAAAAATCCAACTCTTTTCCCCCCTAGAGAGCTGGCTTACTAATACACCACTGTGATATCATCATCTTGAATCCCTGCCTCACCTGCAGGCCTATCAACTGTCAACTGGTTAGAATTAACACGTGGGAGTTGGAAGGCAGGATTATGTAATTTATAAGAAAAGAGAATCTCTACAAATGGAGACGTGAAGCTTATATACCCTTTGACCTCTGTAAAAATAAGAACAAACAGTAGTCATTTTGAATTCTGTGGCTGAGATTGAGGCTGTGAGAGGCTTTGAGATGGAAGCTTCCGGCACCAAAGCCTTCTCCAGTGCGTGTTACTTAGTTGCAGAATAAGCTTTTGTTCAAATAGTCAAAAGTAGATTTTTATTACTTTCCCTGTTTATCACATTGCTTGTAAGTGCCATTCCTGTTGAAGACGATCTTCCCACCAGTAACAGGGACAACAAATTTTGTTCCCTGAGGGGAGGATGGGGATGAAAAGGAGGAACTGGGTTGGGGGAAGGTGGGGTCCACTGGGGAGGAGAGGTGGAAATCTTATCTGGAAATGCTGAAAATGAACTGGTGAAGGTATCAGAGGCTTAAGATTCTTATTCCCGTATTCATCTCTTCAGCACAGTTCAAGCACCTGCTATATACAAGGTAAGGAGCCCTGGTGGTGCAGTGGTTAAGTGCTCGACTGCTAACCAAAATGTCAGTGGTTTGAACCCACGGGAGAAAGATGTGGCAGTCTGCTTCCGTAAGGATTTACAGCCTTGGAAACGCTGTGGGGCAGTTTTACTCTGTCCTATAGGGTCGCTAAGAGTTGGAATTGACTCTGGCAATGGGTTTGGTTTATATACAAGGTGTGATGACTTTGATAGTATCAGGTAGATGCGAATGTGAACAAGACAGACATTGTTTTCTTCCTTCACAGAGCTCACTTTCGACCAGGGAATGACAGTCTATTAAAACAAGTGATTGAAGTAAAGTGTTAGAAGATGTTATAACGAGGGAAGTACAGAAATCAATGAGAGCGATTTAACAGTGGGATCTCTCCTAGTTTAGGGCCAAGGAACATCTCCAAAGGAATAGTGCCTTAAATGAAATCTGAAATGAGTGAGACAGTCAGTGGTGTGTGAGGGGTGAGTTGTATGTGGGGTAAGAGTGTTCCAGAGAGAGAAAACAGAATTGAAAAAGCGTTCTTTGAAACTGTGACATTATCAGTGGACAGAGCATCCAACACTGCCAATGTGGAGGTGCAGAACACACTGAGGCTTCGTAGGGCTCTCAACACCAGAACCATAGGTGGAGCCAGAGCAAGATATGGGCCTTGTGTTGGAAGAATGTACTCAGGTGAGTATAACACTAGCAGAAGTGAGAGAAATACTAAGTTTGATGAGACTGCAGAGCAGAAAGAGACCAGTTTCTCTTAGGGGGAAGGATTAGCTAAGACTCTTGAAGGAGGTGGCATTTGCTATGATCCTTAAAGGATGAGAAGGGTGAGACCTGAGTGTATAGACTGAACTCAGGGCTGTTTGTAGTTTCCTGTTGTCTTTGTGGTTTTTGACCCTTGCCTTATTTGTTCAGCTAGGATTGTGTCTAAGCAGAGCCTCCGCATCTGTTCTTAACCTCAACTGCAGCCTTATCCTTTTGCCCATGTGCCGAACCCTTCTGGCTTACCTTCGAGGATCCCAGAAGGTAAGAAAAAAAAAATCCTAGTGACAGATTCCAGCAGAAAAATTAAGTGTAACAATAGCATGTTAGTTCTGCTTCGTTTTCCTTGTAGTATGGTCTGACTTTCTGCTAGAGTGATTTCCTCAAAGATGAAAGTCAGGGCCATGTCACCTGTCAGGATGACCAGTGAGGTATTCTGCAAAGCTAGATAAGGGCAGAGGATAATAGAAATAGTTATTATTGATAGCAGTATCAGGCATTGTGGTAAACGCTTCACATATATGATCTTGAAACCTCTCAACAATTCTGTAAGCAGATATTGTTAGTTCTGCTTTATGGATGAGGAACCTGGGGCATAGAGAGTTTAAATCACTTGACCAAGGTTATGAGGCTAGTGAATGGCAGGGCTAAAATCAATCCCAGTTCTGAAGTCTTTCCACTCTATTATGCCTCATTGAAATCCTGTATTTTCATTTAGTTAAATCCAGGTGAGCTATCTAGAGCCCTGTGACCTGGGAGCAATACACAGGATGATTACTGGTATTGAGGGTATCTTATCTCTACTTAAAACACATACCTATTTTAAGCTGTGTAACAGGCTTGAAGAGATGTCTTGATTAGACTGTGATGTCGTGTGTGATATTTATTATTACAACATGAAAGATGTAAGAAAACAGAAAAGCACTTTGATAATCATTTCATTAAAACTAAAGTAAGGTTCTTTTTTATTTTTGATTATCCTCATGTGTATGTGTGTGTGTGTGTGAATGTGTGTGTGTTCTTTTCCTCACTAAGATAGTAAGGCACTGCTGGATAGATGCTGATATTATAGAGGTTGTTAACTTGAGGTAGCTTTGATGTTCTGTGAAGTTCATATCAGTGATTTTACTCTAGGAAAATTTCCCAACCTTTTCATGTAATTGCAGTTGGAAACTCTTTACTTTTAATGCAGTAATCTTTGGAAATAACTCTTTCCTTAGGCTGCCTACCATTGTAAAACGCTAGGTTTTGATCCATGTGGCTGGCCATTGGCTTGGCATGAAGAAAGAGATGATAATTGGCAGGCAATGAAAAATGCCCACCTAAGTCCCTCAGCAGTTAATAAGTCTTCAATAGTTGTCTCCTGGTGTGAAACATAGGTATTCAAAAATGCTTGACATTTTCCTATCAGATCAAGCAGGCATTTAAAACCATAAATGGATTGCTTTATTTAAAAATATAATTTATTTTTGGACTACAAAAGGAAATCATACATATTGTAAAACTCAACATTCCAGAAATTTGCTAAGCAATCAGTGAAAGTTTCTCCTAACTTCACCCTACCAGGACAGCCCCTGATGGTGGTTTAGCTAAATGCCAGTAGATGTCTTAACACATAATACCATTAGTTTTAAACAACATAGTATCATAGTGAAGTTTATGTTTTATGATTTTTTACCTAATAATATATCTCGCACATCTTTCCATATCAACACATATAGCCTTCTCACATTCTCTTTAATAGTTTCAGAATGTTCCATTGACTGGATATATCATGATTTATCTTACCAATTTTTAATTGATAGGCCGTTTCCATATTTCCAAATTTTTGATATTATAAACAATGCTGCACTGAAAAACTTTGTATATGTATCTTGTTTGTTGCATCATTTTTACCAAAATAAATTATTTTATTTAGGTTCCAAGCAGGCGAACAAGAAGATTATTAGATAAAAGCAGAACATTCCATATCACCTGTGGTGTTACTGTCTGTATTTTCTCAGGTGAGTAGGTCAAAAAGATGTTAAATATTACGTTAGAATTACACATTTTATAAATGGTATCTTTATTGTTCTGTAAGTTACCTGCTGTTACCAAATAGTGATTTGTTTTTTTTTAATTATATAACTTAATTTTCTGTTTAGTGTATTTGAAGAGGGCTGTTTAGGGAAGACTACAGAAAATGTGTATGTCTTATGTTTTTTTGCATTGTAATATCCAACTGTTGGCCTCCGAGCTGATAATGGCTGTTTTTTTTTAACATAAATAATTTCCTTTGGAAAGATTGAAAGAAGCAGACTAAAAATTTTAAGCTCCTAAAGTTACAATATTGCATGAGTTTAAAAGTGCATGAAAATTAGAATGTGAAATGCGAGTTCGTAGAATATGATTCCACCCTAAATTATATTTGATAATTTTTTTATATTAATAATTGAGTAGAAGAGTAAATGTCAAAATTTGTGGAAATTTACCTTGTTCCATTCCAAGTTAAAAAGTAGGGCAAGGATCTTTTGGTTTTTAAGAGTCATTATAAAATTTTTTTATTCTGAGCGTTTATATCATACTTTTCACATTTTTTGAACAGAAAGCAATAAACATAGTGATAAAGTACATGGACTCTGGAGTCAGATTATCTAGGTTGTCTTCCCATTTGCTCTTCTGCCTTAACTGTGTGATACCACCTCTTGGATCCTGTTTGTTGGTTTTTTAAGTGTAAAATGGATTGATAGCAGCACCTACCTCATAGGTCGTTGGAAGGCTAAAATCAGAAAATACACATAAAGTTCTTAGAATTAGCTATTATAATTTACAATCTGTGTTAATTATCCTAGTGGCATAGTACCTGCCATCTTGACTTGGCTGCTATTAGATATAACATAGCTGCTTTGATACTAAGGACATTTTCACTGGACATTTATGTATAGCCATTTTGATTCAGCAAGGTTTTGATGCAGCCATTACAAAAATACCATTAAACTTTTAGCTTTTTCAAAATTGCCAAGTACTGTTGAAGCAGACATCTTCACTCTACTATCCCTAAGTATCTATTCACTTGTAGTCCCCACCTCTGGACGTAAGAAACGGAAAGAGGCTCAGGAATGGGATTATGATGACTCCAGTGCAGTTCCAGGGTAGGGAGAGAGTAAGGGTCCAGGATGAGATGAGGCCCAGATTAGAGATAGATTAGGGTTAAAAACTGGAATCAAACTAGTTGCCATACAGTCGATTCCAACTCATGGCGACCACATGTGTGTCAGGGTAGAACAGTGCTCTATAGGATTTTCAATGGCTGATTTTTCAGAACTTGATCTCCGGGCGTTTCTTTGAAGGCCTCTCTGGGTGAGCTTGAACCTCCAAACTTTTCGTTAGCAACTGAGTGCATTAACCATTTGCACCACCCAGAGACTCCTGGACTAGGGTTAGAGAAGGTGAGAAATTAGAAATGGAGAAGGATCAGGAAACTTTGGCACATTTGTTACTTGATTTTCTCCAACTGTGTTTGTGTCCAAATATTGTGGTTCGTTTGAAGAACACCTAAGAGACTGAGATAGTGTGGTATTGCCATGAATGAGCATGTGCTTCAGAGTTGGATAAAAAGGGTTTGAATTCTGCCACTCACTAGTGATCTGACTTTGCCTAAGTTATCTTTCTTAACTTTAGTGTTCTTATCTTTAAAATAGGGCTGATGCTAATACCTCATTGTTGCGAGAATTAAATGAGACAATTTGTGCAAAGTGCCTGGGATACTTCCTGCTATTGTCCAAAATTAGAGGTCCTGAATTATTTTAAACTAAAGGGCCTTTTAATGAAGGTGAATGTTTCCCTTAAGGATGTAGCTCATACAGCTGTTATCTGAGATTATTTTTCAGGAGAATTCAGAGAGAATGGTAATTCCTGTAAGGTAAATTATCTATTAAATGTAATTATTATTTTCCTGACGTTTTGCCACATGAAGTGTTACCAACACTTTTGCTGTTGGGTTTAGAATATTACAATTTGAATCTGCAGCCTATATTCTAGGTATGATAGTGAAATACACAAGGTATAGAGCACGGTCGGAGTTATGGGAGAGGTGAAGTGTAGAGCATCTAAAATACCCAGCAGCTGCATGCATGCATGTGTACATACATACATATTATGCACACACATATATGTGCGTGTGTTTAGTGTGTGTGTGTGTATAAAAATATTTTCTAGGCCTTACTTGCTAGGGTTATTTCATTCCAGCTTTTGAAAATTTGACCTTTCTACATGAATTGTAATACCAAAACTGTTTATATTTAAGTGTTTTTGTATCTTAAGGCTTTACTCTTTTCTTTAGTATCCACTGCTCATATAGCTGTCAGAGTTTGACCCTGTATTTACCTGGAGAGAGGAGCTGACTCCTTGCCATAGAGCATACCCCACTGACTTGTGCCTGTTGTGATTCTGTAGGTGTGCACGTGGCTGCCCATCTGGTGAATGCCCTCAACTTCTCAGTGAACTACAGCGAGGATTTTTTGGAACTGAATGCAGCGAGATGCCGAGATGAGGTGGGTGGACTCTGTCTTCCCATTTTCCTTTTCACTTTTCACAGGATGACTAATGAGGGTCTGCAGTTTTCACAGAAAATTCGTACCTTGCTGCTCCTTTCGAGTGCTTTTAAAACGCAGTTGTCAAGTTGAATTTTGTTCCTTTTCAGTAGAAAATATAGGTAATTACTATTTCATAGTCTTTCCTGCTGGAAATGGAAGTTTGGAGAGTATCTACTTTTTATATTCTGCAATGTTCACATGGGCGCCACTCAGGACTCCTCCTGACCCTCAACAGCTTTTGTCAAATTTCTGTCATTCAGGAGAGAATGTGAACAATGCCATTAGAAGGTAAAAATCCTTTAATAACTCAAATACTATGCATGCAGGAGGAGGGGCAGGAAGGCAGGATGATTGATTATTTGTAGATCCTGGATCATCAGTTTATTTGACTTTTAAAAAAGTATTATTGAGTTTTTATGACTTATTCTATTATTTTTGATTTTTGAAAGAGATGATCTTGAGCTGAATTCTAAAGTAGGCAACATGTGACCTAGGGGCTCTTCTGTCCATAAGAAGTTACCCAGTAAATGAAATTATATGTGCCAGGTTCTGGGTCAGAGCCTGGTGAACGGTGCGTGCAGACACCTAGATGGGTCTCTGTTGCTCAGTACTTTCACACTGTCCTCAGCCTGCCTTGACTTCACAACCAAGACTATATCTGCAGCCAGACTGTTTGGTGTGGCGTCCCATTTGATCAGGACCTTTCTGCTGACTCAGTGTGGTAGTGACTAAGTGAGATTGTTCTCCATCTTCCCCCACTCCATTCCCTCTCTACCTGTCACCAGTTATCTAGGTTAATACTGGTGAGATCATGTGCTTGGTCTGTGTCCCAGAACAAAACAAAGGAAAGAATATTAACAAACAGAAACAAATTACAGAACTAAAGTAGCAAGTAGTCTTTGATATATCCCTTGCTTCTGCTGTTAATTTTAAAAACACCTGTCTTAGTTTCCTAGTGCTGCTATAACAGAAATACCACAAATAGATGGCTTTAACAAAGAGAATTTTATTCTCTGACAGTTTAGGAGGCTAGAAGTCTGAATTCAGGGTGCCAGCTCCAGGGGAAGGCTTTCTGTCTCTGTTGAGTCTGGAGGAGGTCCTTGTCATCAGTCTTCCCCTGGTCTAGGAACTTCTCAGTGCAGGGACCCAGGGTCCAAAGGACATACTATGCTCCCGGCTTTGCTTTATTAGTGGTATGAGGTCCCCCTGTCTCTCTGCTTGCTTCTCTCTTTTATATCCCAGAAGAGATTGATTTAAGACACAACCTAGTCTTGTAGATTGTGTCCTGCCTCATTAACATAACTACCTTTAATCATGCCTCATTAACATCATAGAGGTATTAGGGTTTACAATACATAGGAAAATCTCATCAGATGACAAAATGGCGGACAATGACACAGTCTTGGAGATGTCCTCGCCAAGTTGACAGGTATTTTTCGGGAGCACAATTCAATCCATGACAACACCCATATGATTTAACTGGTCTCTTGTGGTGCCTAGGCATTGATATTTTTAAAAAGCTTACCAGGCGATTTATTAGAGAACGAGTGAGAAGTCCAACTCCATAGCATGCCACTGGAAGCTCTTCACATGTAAGGATTTTTGATCCAGTGTTACCATTTCTTTCTGTCTCTCACTGCCTTCCCCCTTTGCTGATATTGTTGTTGTTGTTAGGTGCCTTGGAGTCGGTTCTAATTCATAGCGACCCTGTGTACAACAGAACGAAACAACTGCCTGGTCCTGCACCATCCTCACAATTGTTGTTATGCTTGAGCCCATTGTTGCAGCCACTGTGTCAGTCCATCTTGTTAAGGGTCTTCCTCTTTTTCTCTGGCCCTCTACTTTACCAAGCATGATGTTCTTTTCCAGGGACTGATCTCTCTTGGGGTTATTGTTTCCTGCTCCTGCCATACAATTTACTTTTTTGCTTCTCTTTTTCTTCTTTGCTTCTCCCTTTTGTTTTTAAACCTTTAATAACCATAGTAGTTATATCGTTTGAATGTAGTATGCTTTTGCTTAAAACTTGTCACTGCCGAGTTGATTCCAACTCATAACAACCCAATAGGACAGACTAGAGCTGCCCCATAGCGTTTCCAAGGAGCGGCTAGTGGATTCTAACTGCTGACCTGTTGGTTAGCAGCTGAGCTCTTAACCACTATGCTGCCAGGTCTCCACTATATATACACAGGCATGAAAATATACATATGTTTTGTGCTGTCAAGTCGATTGCAACTCATAGTGACCCAGAGTAGAACTGGGACAGAGTAGAACTGCCCTGTAGGGTTTCCAAGGCTGTAATCTTTATGGAAGCAGACTACCACATCTTTCTCCTGCGGGGCAGCTGGTGTGTTAGAATCGCCAACCTTTTGCTTAGTACTCCAAAATTTTTAGATATTTTTGAACTTCTAGTTATTAAAATTATTTTATTTCAAGAGTAATACAAGCTCAGGTACATGAAGTTAAAAGTGAAATCTTTCCCCACTGTCTACTCCAGAGATGGCCACAGTGAACTGTTTTATGTTTTCTTCTAAGATATTTTTAGTTGTACTTTATGAAGCATATTTCTCTGCATTGTGCTTTTTTCCATTAACTGCCATATTTGTCTGCTAATTCTGTCTCTCCCTCTCTCTAATGTATATATAATTATTTTCGTATGGATATGCCGTAATTTTTTAAGCTTCTTTCTTATTTACAGATATTTAGGTTGATTCTGTATTTTTGTTATGAACCACACTCCAGTAAACTTATTTCTTTGTACACTTCTAGCAGTATCTCTGTAAGACCAATTCATAAAATTAGACCTTTGGTTCAAAAGTTTAGTTTTGGTGGACATTGCCAAATTATCCAAAAAGTCTTCACAGGTTTACACACTTGGGCCATCAGTATATGAGAATGCCTATTTGCTTATCTCATCTTTTTTTTATTTTTTATTTTTGCCAATTTGATGGAAGAGTGGTAACTCATTGTTTTAACTTATATTTTCTCTTTTCTTCCTTCCTGTGTTTTTTCTTTCTTTCCTTTTTCCTTTATCCCTCTCTTCTTTCTTTCAATAAATATTTACTGAGCGCCTAGTAGGTACTGGGCAGTATGCTAGGTAAAGATGAAAAAAAATTATATAAATTAACAAATACATAATATATATGCATTTAAGTATATATTTATATATGTGTGTGTTCTGTGCCGTCAAGTCAATCCCAACTCATAGCGACCTTCTATGGCAGAGTGGAACTGTCTCATAGGATCTCCTAAACTGTAAGCTTTACAGAGCAGATCACCAGGTTTTTGTTCCTGTGGAGTAGCTGGTAGGTTCGAACCACTGACCCTTCGGTTAGCAGTTGAGTGCTTAACCATTGCACCACCAGGGTTCTTTATATATACTGTGAAATGCCTTTGGAAAAGATCAACTTGTGCTATGCACCTTATTGTTCTTACTTTATGCTTTTAATCTGTCTGAAATAACCCACCTTCCAACTTTTGCACATTCTGATGTCCTAAGTCTACCTCATCTTGTCGTTTATGAAACAGTCTCTGACTCACATGTTCCATTTTCCTTCCTTGACAGTATTATGTGTTCCATCTTCTGGGTTTCTGTAGCTATTAATTCATATTTCTAGTATTGCCACTTCATTCAACCTGTCTTATATTAATACTAGTTTTTTTATGTATCAGTTTTCTCCAGCTCACTCTTTAGCCATGTTTTTAAACCAGGGGTGTAAGTTATTTGACCTAAGCCAGGTGAGGAGCTATTGATGGGCAAGAAGTCTTTCTTCATGGCCCCTGAAATCACACCATATAAATGACTTCCTACTCGGTATGTAACCTGGCCTGACTTCAGATTCAAAGGAGGGATAAGAAAAGGAATGCAGAAATTGTGCAGCAGTAAGCACCGTGAGGATGAAAAATGAAATCCAAAAATCTATTAAGGGTCGATCAGTGTTTTCCAGAAGGTAGAAAGGGAGTTGATTTTAATCCATTACAACATGAGAGATATAATTTAAAGGAACTATTACAGTAACAATTAATATTACAATATTAATGTTACAATATTAATAGTATTGTTTTATATTTGCAAGTAGCAGGAACCCTCTCCGCTTTGTGTATTCTCACCATTTTTCACAGTGTTTGAAACAGAGTAAATTCTCAATTAGTCTTTTTAGGACTAAGTTTAGAGTGTACAAACTCTTTTACAGATTTTACTACATATGATCTTCCTGTCTGGACTCCTTATGAATTCAGTTTGGCAATTATGATAGACAGTGTGTATATTAATGGTTTCACATTATAGCCAAAGATACCAAATCTCAAAAGGATCAGAGGGTGGGCTTAAAGCCACTGCCACTAGCTTTTAAGTGGACATTAGGATTAAAATCCAGACCTTCTGACTTCTCATCTAGCACTCTGCCTTTCTCAGATGGATAGGTTTCTCTGAGCTGGATTTTGTCCTTGTTATAATCGTTCTCTAGCATTGTGGGAAAAAAAAATAGAAACTTAAACCTCTCATTTCCACTGGGAGGACAGTATGTTAATGGCCCAATACATGCCTCTTATACCCTGTAGATTCCTTGTAGAATTTTACATCATCAGTGTTTTATTTTTCAGTCTCATTTTTTTTTTTCTTTCTTTCTTTCTCTCAGGATCCTAGAAAACTTCTCTTCACAACTGGTAAGTTGTTATTCTTACTGTCTCTGAACATTCAGGAAAATCTTTTAAAATAAGCATCTTCAAATTCCACAGCAATTAGATTTTTGTTAAGATATAATGGGAAATTTGCATATCAGAACAAATATTAGGGGGTCAGGTATAAGGTTGCAGTAAAACAGTGGTTTGGCTTGGCTGGTGGTGGGAGGCCTGCTTTGATCATTGTGCTCTTTTGGGAACAGTCTATGTGGGTGGGATCTGACTGAGACCAGCAGCTCAAGGGTTGGGCAGAAACCTTGAGGGGCTGTGGATTTGTGTTGTTGGGGGAGGGCCATCTCGGGAGGGTGAGGTGGGAATGGTTGTGCAGCTTGAGGAGTGTGGTTGATGTCACTGGGTGGTGCATGTAGAGGCTGTTGAATTGGTGTGTGTTTTGCTGTGTGTGTTATCAAAGGCAGCAGTAAGATAAATAAAATTTAGGAAAAAAACAAACAAAAACACAGAAAGTCAGGGCAAACAATTGAGGTATAAATGAATGGAGAGTAAAAGTGAGCAAAAACATTCTCCTTTCATATGTCCTTCCAATGAAAACAATATAACACCATATGCTTGTTAAGGACCTGCTTTGTGATCGGTGCTATGGTAGGTACTGTGGAGGATAATATGTGTATAATGGGAGGAAACACCAAGCATTCTGGGTATCAATGTCATTTTTATTATTCAGTTAATTTAGTAGGACCACTTGTGATCAAAAACCTATACGATATAGCAATTTTATATTTAAGCAAAAATGAGGAGAAACATAGTCATGAAAATAACTTATTTTTCTTGAATCATGTCCCCGTTTTCATTTGTAATTTATTTTTCCTTCTTAAACATATTGCCCATGAAATCTCAGTCTAGACTATTAATTTGTTAGGGCACAGTTGAACACAACAAAATTTTGCCCTGATATTAGTACAATTCTTACTGTCATTCTTCCTTTCTCAACCTTACATTTATAATGATGAAAGGAGAAAGCTGCATTTTGGGAATTTTTAGCACATATTTTAGGGACAAGGATGATTGGCTAGTTGGGATGGTCTATCATAAATGATTGGCTGTAGTACCCTATTCAGGATCAGAATTGGATATGTGACTGAGACATTGCTTTGTTAAATGCATTGTTTTTCTTTTGAGTCAGTTTTTTGTTGAAAAATCACAAAAATTCAGATACTTTCTCCCTCCATGTCACAACTACATACTTGGATTTATAAAATATGTTTGGTTTCTGCATATAGACATATGATATTTGTCACTTGTCAAGTATTTCACAGTGTTCTCCTTAGTAAGTAATACATTTTAGTTTTGCTTACAGCTTTGCTTACTGAGAACATGTTTTTACTTAAGCCTTAAGAATTGGATGAGAAATAGGAGGGGGAAGAATCAGAAAAACAAAACCTTATGTATGAATCAATGTATTTTTTGGTTTATATTGAAATAATTTAAGAGAAATAAACAAGAATGTCGTTTTAGTATTATTTTCTATGGTACACAGTTTATTTGAAGGCTTAGAACATTTAAAGTGTTTAAAGAAGTTAAGTTTACAAAGATATTAAAAAACCTTATGTGACAAAGATATTACATTCAAGTGTTTAGTATAATCAATACTTCATTATAAGCAGGTGGACTTTTTTAACCTCCATTCTCATCTCCTAGAATGAAACCCATAGCTCTGTGTTCTGGCCCAAGGGTCTAAGTGGAGAAGATACTTAAAACTTCAAATTTCCTTGATCCTCATCCTAGAGATTGTCTGGAGTGAGGCGTGGGAATGTGTTTTACTAACCTTCCCACATTCTTCAGGAGTTACTGTTCTACCCCTGCTGAACATCTCCTCATGTTCTTAAGGATACCTTCTCACCACTAGCTCTTTCCTGAAATAGCCTCATCTTGTTTGTTTGCCTGGTCTACTCCTGTTCATCCTTTTTTTTTTTAATTAATTAATTTTTTTATCGTACTTTAGATGAAGGTTTACAGAACAAGTAGTTTCTCATTAAACAGTTAGTACACATATTGTTTTATGACATTGGTTAACAACCCCATGACATGTCAACACTCTCCTTTCTCGACCTTGGGTTCCCTATTACCAGCTTTCCTGTCCCCTTCTGCCTTCTAGTCCTTGTCCCGGGCTGTTGCGCCCCATTAGTCTCGTTTTGTTTTATGTGGCTGTCTAATCTTTGGCTGAACGGTGAACCTCGGGAGTGACTTCATTAATGAGTTAAAAGGGTGTCTGGGGGACATACTCTCACGCTTTCTCCAGTCTCTGTCAGACCAGTAAGTCTGGTCTTTTTTTGTGAGCTAGAATTTTGTTCTACATTTTTCTCCAGCTCTGTCTGGGACCCTCTGTTGTGATCCCTGTCAGAATAGTCAGTGGTGGTAGCCAGGCACCATGTCATTGTACTAGACTCAGTCTGGTGGAGGCTGTGGTAGTTGTGGTCCATTAGTCCTTTGGACTAATCTTTCCCTTGTATCTTGTTTTCTTCATTCTCCCTTGCTCCCGAAGGGATGAGATCAGTGGAGTATCTTAGATGGCTGCTTATAGGCTTTTAAGACCGCAGATGCTACTCAGCAAGGTAGAATGTAGAACATTTTCCTTATAAACTACGTTACACCAGTTGAGCTAGATGTTCCCCAAGACGATGGTCCCCACAGCCCTCTGCCCAGCCATACGGTCCCTCAGGGGGTTTGGATGTGTCTATGGAGCTTCCATGACCTTTCCTTGTACAAGTTGTGCTGGCTTCCCCAGTATTGTGTACTGTGTTGCCCTTCACCAAGGTTATCAGTTATCTGTTGTCTATTTAGTATCCCCCCCCCCCACAACCCTCCCATCCCTTGTAACCATCAAAGATTGTTTCTTTTTGTGTGTAAACAGTTTCATGAGTTTTACAGTAGTGGTCTCATACAATATTTGTCCTTTTGTGATTGACTTATTTCACTCAGTGTAATGTCCTCCAGTTTCATCCATGTTTTGAGATGCTTCGCGGATTCATCATTGTTCTTTATTGTTGCATAATACTCCATTGTGTGTATGTAACATAGTTTGTTTATGCATTCGTCTGTTGATGGGCATCTAGGTTGTTTCTGTCTTTTTGCTATTGTGAACAATGCTGCCATGAACATGGGTGTGCATTTGTCTATTCGTGTGACAGCACTTATTTCTCTAGGATATATTCCTTGGAGTGGGATTGCTGGATCATATGGTATTTCTAGCTTTCTAAGGAAGCACCATATCATTTTCCAAAATGTTTATATGATTTTGCATTCCCACCACAAGTGCATAAGAGTTCCGATCTCCCTGCAGCCTCTCCAGCTTTTGTTATTTCCAGTTTTTTTGATTCGTGCCAGTAATGCCAGGGTAAAATGGTATGTCATTGTGGTTTTGATTTGCATTTCTCTAATGGCTAGTGATCACGGCATTTCCTCATGTGTCTGTTGGCCAGTTGAATGTCTTCTTTGGTGAAGTGTCTGTTCATTTCCTTTGCCCATTTTTTAATTGGAGTATTTGTCTTTTTGCTGTAGAGGTGTTGGATTTTCTTGTAGATTTTAGAGATTAGACCTTTGTCTGATTTGTAATGCCCAAAATTTTTTTCCCAGTCTGTAGGTTCCCTTTTTACTCTTTTGGTGAAGTCTTTTGATGAGCATAAGTATTTAATTTTTAGAAGTTCCCAGTTACCTAGCTTATCTTCTGGAGTTTGTGTATTGCTGGTTATGGTTCGTATCCTGTTAATGCCGTGTATTAGGGCCTCTAGCATTGATCCTATTTTTTCTTCTATGAACTTTATACTTTTTGGCTTTATATTTAGGTCACTATTTGTGGATGATATGATACTATACATAGTTGTCTTTTATGGTGGATTTTGTTTTAATGTCTATTTTATCTGAGGTTAGTATTGCCACTCCTGCTCTTTTTCGGTAGCTATTTCCTTGATATGTTTTTTTCCATCCTTAGATTTTTAATAAATTTATGTCTTTGTTTCTAAGGTGTGTCTCTTGTAGACAGCATATTGATGGATCCTGTTTTTTTATCCATTCTGTCACTGTCCATCTCTGTGGGTGCATTTAGACCATTTAAGTTCAGTGTAATTAGTGATGGGTGTGAGTTTATGGCTGTCGTTATATAGTGCTGTTTTTTTGTGGTGCTGACGTTTTCTTTGTTCCTCTTACTCTCCTGTGCTGAGTTCCTTTTGTTTGTGGATTTTTTTTTCATTTCTTTTGTTTTTGTAGTTTTTGTTTTACTGAGCCTTTATGTTTTTCCTCTTTACTTTGATGAGTAGGTTTGTTAACTTTCTTTGTGGTTACCTTGAAATTTACCTTTATCTTCCTAGGTTTGAACCAGTCTATTATTACTTGGTATTGCCTTGCCTTCCTCTCCATTAGGAGGTTCTATACCTACACTGTTTATTCCCTCTTTTATTGTTCTGATGTTGTTGTCATTTACAGATTAACCTCTCTGTTTCCCTGTTGTAATTCTTTTGGTTTTGGATAGTCCTTGAGAGTTCATTTCCTGGGTTTGTATCTGGATGGTACAATCTTACATCCTACATTCAACAATTGCAATTGCAATTGCCTATCTCTCTCTCCTCTATTGGGCCAGTATTTCTTTTAGAGCAGCATTCGTTTTATCTCTAGCACTTGACAGTGCATTATAGATGCCCAGAATATATTTATTGAATGAATAAAAGCCATTTCTTTAACTCTTCTATCTGATGTATAGCTCTTCTCTGTTACCATCCAGATAATAGGTTAGTGTGCCTCTGTTTGGCTATTTCCAGTGATAGGAACTCATTACTTCTCAAGATAGCCCAGTCTTTCTTTTTTTGATAACACTAATTGTAATACATTTTTCTTTTTTATTGATCTTAAATTTTTTACTTTATAAATGTTAGACTCTAGTCTTTTTATATTTTGGAGAGATAGAAAGGAAAAACTAATTCTTTAGATAAAAGAAATAACTTCATAAATCTGAAGGAACATTTAATATCACTTAATTCATTTTCCTTGGTCTTAGTCTTCAGATGAGTTTCAGCAAGACTGGGGATTTGCCTAAAGGACAAATAATCCCAGAGTATATTGACAATTGGTTCGATTTTCTGGGGCTTCTACTTCATCTTCAAATGACCTAAGTCAACTATTTTGCCCCCTCAAAGTCTCCAGTATTCTGCCTTCTCCATGTCTCTCTCCATGTTCTGCTCTAAAAGAAGTTCTCAAGTCAAATAAGTTTGAGGGAAATTTGTTTAAGTTTAAAAGGGTTTCTTGACATTGCTACTTCTCAAAGCTTTTAATATACTGATATGCCTTGTAATGCTCTCCAAGGAATGGGTAAAACATTTTTGAGTAATAGAAATTAATATCTCAAGGAATTAATGTTCCAAATAATACACTTTGAAAATTATAGCTCTATTCTAAAAATACTCAGCTTATTCAAGTGTCTTTCAGATGAAGTGATTTGCAGACATTCCATAACTAATCTTGGCATGTTCAGAACCACATAGGAAATCTTGTATGTAGAAGGAGTAGAACATTAATAAAGGCTCAATAAAGTTATTGAAAAGGCCCCTCCAACCATAAATTTCACACTTATGGAGCCATCTGAGATGCTATCATTTAGTTATTTACTTGGTCAAATAAAGGTCTTTTTTTATAACTTGAATACAGAGAGATTGAGCTTCCCCCTGTTTTTTTCCTCAAATGTATTGAGTTGTAATTGAGCTACACTAAACTACACATATTTAAAATATGCAGTTTGTTCAGTTTTGACATATGTATACACATTTGACATCATCACCAAAATCAGGATAACAAATATTTCTATCACCCCAAAAAGTTTTTTGTGCCCCTTGTAGTACATTCATCCTTCTGTGCCTCTGGGGCAACCTCTGATATGCTTTTTATCACTAAAGAATGGTTTGAATCTTCTAGAATGTTACATTAAAAGAAACTATAGAATTTGGATTTTTTTTTTTTTTTTTTTTTTTTTGAGGGCGGTGGCATAAATGGTTAAGCACTCCACTACTAGCCAGAAGTTTAACTGTTTGAATCACCCGCCGGTCCCTTGGAAGACCGACCTGGTGACCTGCTTCTGAAAGATCACAGCCTTGAAAACTATATGGGGCAGTTTTACTCTGCACATACAGGGTCACCATGAGTTGGAATCGACGGCAACTAACAACAACAACATGACTTTTTTCACTCAGCATAATAATTTTGTGATTTATCCATGTTGATGCATATGTGTCACCAATTTATGGTTTTTTATTGCTGATTAATTTTCCAGTGGTGGACATACATCGATTGTTTCTCCATTCATCTGTTGACGAAGATTTGAGTTGTTTACAGTTTTTGTCTGTAAAAGTTAAGTGACTGTGAACATTCTTGAGTAAGTCTTTGTGTGAACATATGCAGTGTTTCTCTTGGGTAAATGGCTCAGTCATTTTGTAGTTATGCTATTCTTTTTACATAGTACATTTTCTGTTCTTTGATACTTTAGTGTGAACGTGTTTAGTTTGCTTTGTTTTGTTACCTCTGTGGCACCGTGATTAAGAACTTGGCTGCTAACCAAAAAGTCGGCAGTTCGAATCTACCAGGAGCTCCTTGGAAACCCTATGGGGCGGTTCTACTCTGTCCTATGTGGTCACCATAAGTCAGAATTGACTCGACGGCAACGAGTTTGGTTTTTTTGGTTTTAAGAAGTAAGCACTCACCTGGAGAAAATGGAAAAGACTTTGGGAAAGAGAGTAACCTGGGAAGGAAGTGTAGAGGAGAGATGATTTGAATTCGGCACATCAGGAAAGGGAAGGTTTTATTAGGCTTCTGAGTCTTTGTATTGGGAAGAGTGAGGAGGAAAGGTAATCGAGCGTGTAAGACTCCAAAAACTAACTCTCCTTATTTCCCGTTTAGGCCCATAAGTACAAACTTCTTCCTACGGTAATGAGATTTTTAGTTTTGTCATTTTCCAGTGATTCTGGAGTCTCTAGAGTCTTAATGATGCACACCTGTATTGGTTTTTCATAGTACCCAGCTTGTCTGCTTATGTTAAGTGGCTCACAAGCCATGATGGTCCTGTTTCTTCGGTGGTTCCTTGGCAAGAACAGAAGCGGGGGAATGACTATCCTTTTTGGAAAGAGAATTGCTCTAATAGCTTTTCTGTGTGGCCTGACTTAAGGTGGAGTTTCTCAGCTGGGGTATGATTGTAAGGTAACTGATAGACAGGATATTTAATTTGGTAGTAATAAGGTAAGAAGAATTGAGATTTTACCTTTCCGAGGTATAGCGTGTCAGCTATTCATTTTGAACAGGCATTATGGACTGACACTGGATTTGTAACAATCTATCATGTCATTAACTTGGAAAACTAACATATTTGCATGTTTTCTTTCTTTTTTTTTCCCTAAACAAATGTTATACCATGTCAGAAGGAGTGATTTCAGCATGTTTTCAATACCAAGACGAAGTATGTCTGTAAATGTGCTACAAATTTCAGGATTGTAATTTTTTTCTTGAAATACATGATCTTATAGTCTATATTTGAAGTTATGATTTTTAGAAAGCTTTAGATTTTGTTTATTTTTTCTTTAAAATTATTGCAGGTAGTGAAGACCAAAAGCAATTTATTTGAAATTGAAACTGAAGGGGATATTAATTTGATTAAAAGCGGGTAGCTGGGGGAGATTTAGTACTATGGTGGAGAAAACTGAACCTGTAGAGTGTTGAATGTTGCATCTGTCCGTCTGCAGTGATTACTGGCATATGGTGTAGTATGTGCCTGTAGAGGTAAAAATTATACATATTCACCAATCTGAATGGAATATTTAAGATTATAAAAAATAGACTCTTCCATTAAAGGGAGCAAAAATGACTGTTTTGTCTTAAGTGCTTTGAAACTGTGATAATTAGCAAAAAGTCATGTTTGGGTCTGAACATACATGCAGATAAGTGATTGAGTTGGGCTTCCCACAGAGCAGCATAGTACTTTGGGGTGTAAGGTAATACTTCTTTGTACTGTTTTCTCAGTATGAGTTAAGTTAAGATGTATTGATGTATATTTTTATAGTACCTGGCCTGACAGGGGTCTGCATGGTATTGGTGCTATTCCTCATGATTACAGCTTCTACATATGCAATCCGGTAAGTTTCAGAGTTGTTATTTCCATGTTTACTGGTCAGATTATTAAGCTTTTCTTCAAATTGTCTTCATTTTCACATGTAGAAACAGCCTTGATTAACCAAAAACTCCTTAGCCAATGCAATAACTTGATTAGTGGAATATTCTGAGTAATAAAGAGTGAATTAACGAATATTTCTATTTATCAGTTCCTGTTTTTAAAAAATCTCTTCGTTAGTTAACTTCTCTTGGTTAGTAAGAAATTGTATATGGAGACTTAATGGGATGACTGAGGAAATTTGAGTTCTTCAGTGTCATCCCTCTGAAGGGCAGAGTACCTCTGTGGGACATGGGATTTAATTTAACACAGACACTACACAGGGATTTTGAGAATTCCTTGGAATATACAACTTAAAAGTATCTTCTAACTAACTTCCTGGTGTGAGTTTGTTTTGGTGTAATTTAACTTATTCTTCTAAAAGAAGCTTTGGAAACATTTGAGAAGTTGAACTCTGCTAAAATAATTGGAAATATATGCATTCAAATTTATTCCTACTTCAAAAAATTTTGAGCAATTACAGGTAGACATGATTCTGAACACCTTAACATGTCTTTTTTGATGGACACATCTGATTTTTTCAGAATATTTTACAGTGTTTTTCATTTCTCATCAAAACTTTTGGTTAAAGAAAGTAAAAGGAGGAAACACAGTAACATATATTTCTTCGAATCTTCAAAAAAATCTTCAAGGAGGAAACACAGTAACATATATTTCTTCGAATCTTCAAAAAAATCTTCAACCACTCTATACGTTGAGATTAAAAAAATTAATGGAGATTTTATATATATACACACACACACACATATATATACACATATATATAATCCACTAATACATACATATATAATCTCCACTAAATTTCTTATCTGAACAAGTAGAGTGAAGATTCTTTGAAGATACATATATATATAAAATCTCTGTCTCACACACACTCACACACTTTTAAAATAATTGCTCAACCATATACTCAAATAAGTCTATCCCTACACTTCTAAACACACCTACACACACATGCACACCCCAAAACCTCACAAGTAATCTCGTCATAACCTTTTTGGCGGTTATGTTTATAGACTTTAGCCTTCTTGTCTCTGCTCACTCTTTACCCATCTCCTACTCTCCACCCAAACCACACTTTTTCTCTCCCCCTCTCACTACTGATCTTTCTCTGTATCTCTCTCTCCATATATCTGTGTATTTTGCAAAAATTCGATCATGTTATACAAAATATTTTAATTTGCTTTCTATTTAAATGTTACGAACATTTCTTCCACATTAATGAATAATTATCATCATCTTTACTGACTGCACAGCATCTTACCATATAGATATACATTATTTTCCCAGTCCGCTGTTGTTCAGTGTTTTAGGTTGATTCCAGTTCTCCATTATTTCAGTACTGAAGTAAATACCCTATTCTTGTGTCTTTGCATACTTTTTCAGTTATTTCCGAAGGAAAATTTCCTAGATGTAGAATAGCTGAGTCAAGTGGAAAGTATATTTTTAAGACTTTGTATAAGAATTAAAAACTGCCTTATTTAAAGGCAAATCCCTATCCATTTTGTGAGAGAGATTTTATCGTAATTGGGTAAAACAGTCCTACACAAACTTCTGTATTTTTAGGAGTTCTTGAAGAAAAATTAGGGCATCTGCCAGATTTATTTACAAGATTGGAGATATATAGAAGTTCTAAATTTCTAAAAACAAAAATAAAACAATAAAGTTGCCATTACAAACTTACGAGGAAGATAAGGCTTAAGTGAATGAAATTCCATGTGAATTATAGAGTTAACTGTAAAAGATGACTTTTGGTTAGCAGCCAAGCACTTAACCACTGTGCCACCAGGGCTTCTTGTAAAAGATGATACCATTAAAAATTTAGAAGAAACTTTAAGTGGGTATTTGTCAGATCTCAGGATAGGCAAGGGATCATTTAGGAAATACTTGACTACCTAAAAATATGAAAACTAAAACTTCTGCTTATCGATATACATCATAGAAATAATAAAGTAAACATGCTATTGGAGAAATTATTACCATCACATGGAACTACTGCAGATTAGCATTCTTAAAATGTAAATAGTTTGCACACATTAATTAAGAACAATACTCTATTAAAAAATAGGTAGTGGTTGTTAACAGAGAAATCACAGAAGAGACTAAGTAATACACATATGAAATATTGCTCAATCTTACTAATAAAAAATAGTGGAAATTTATAAAATGAGGTACCACTTTAGCCAATCAGAATTAAATGACTTAACAGGGTTATAATACCAAGTGTGGTCTGGCTTTGGGAAAACAGACTCTGTTGGATTTATAACTGATAAACATGTTCATAGAGAGCAATTGGCAGTATGTATCAAAAGCATTACAGATGTATGTCCTTTGATCTAGCAATTCCATTTCTGGGAATTTGGATTCAATAAAGAATCAGCTATGTGCAGTAAGGTTAAAGAAAGTACAGGAAGAAACACAACAATGTATATTTCTTCTACCCTTCAGAATATCTTCAACCACTCACTCCACTTACTGAGATAAGAAATTCAGTGGAGATGTTATATACTGTATATATTACCAGGATGTTAATGATCTATTTTTATAGTAGTAACAACTACGAATTAAATAATTGTAAAACAATTAGCTATTGATTGAATCAGAGGTTCTAAAAGGTTTTAGGAGTTACATCAGAATCATCTCGGAAGATTTGACAAATACCTGCTCTCCACCTCCAAGATGCTGATATATGAATGTCTGCCTACTCCCAGGCATATGAAATAATTGCTAATCTTTCTACTTCTCTCAAACATTTCATCTGTTGTGCATATCATAGCCTACCTTTTAAGATGCTTTGTCCTCCCCCATGGCAATAACTCCAAGGTATCATTCTTAAGTAACACTGTCCAGGAAAAGAAAAGAAAGCTTTGATAAGCATTTATTTTAATTTCTGTCCATTTGAGTTTTCTTTGAACTACACTCAAAATATGTATTGGAATGGGAGCGTTGGTTTTCGAAATCATTTGAAAATTGATAATATTGATATGAGAACAATAGGAAAGTATAAATTAGCAGGCTGTTACGCACTTCTTAGCCTTACGTTATAGCTTTAAAATAAACACCCTCTTATTTTAATTCTTTTATGTGTCTTTATTTGAAATACAAACAGCCTTCAAGCTGATAATTTGTTATTTATAATTTTTTGTCAGTTTCATCTGTATGGTATGTTGATACTTTGGTATGATAGCGTAAACCTCAGATGAACTCATTTTTTAGTTTTCTTAAATTGAGGTGTGTGTTTGAAACGGTGCGTGGTCTTTTTAGCGAGATGAAATGTAAAGTAGCACTGAAACTGTTATTTGTTTTTTCAGAGTTTCTAACTATGACGTCTTCTGGTATACTCATAATCTCTTCTTTATCTTCTACATGCTGCTGATGTTGCATGTTTCAGGGTAAGTTTAAAGAATGCCTAAAATATTCTGTATCTTATTCCTGAGTATAATTGAATTGAGGAGATTTTAGATCAAGATACTCTAATATAATTTCAGATATACCAGTAAGTAACATGGAAAATAAATGAAGCAAAATTAAAACCATGCGTGCCTAAAAATGGGGCTTTGAATGAACTCTGTAGGGAAGCATTATTCTATTTTTAGCATAGCGCATTTTAATGAACTAGTAGAAAAGTATATTAAAATTAATGACTAAAATTAATTCTACACATAATTTAAAGTAAAATCGATGATGTATAATTAATTCTGTATCCCCCTAGAGATCCAAAGGAACCATGGTGGTGCAGTGGTTTAAGTGCTTGGCTACTAAGCAAAAGGTCAACGGTTCGAACCCACCAGCTGCTCTGCAGGAGAAAGATGTGTCAGTCTGCTTCCATAAAGATTACAGCCTTGGAAACCCTGTGGGGCAATTCTACTGTGTCCTGTAGGGTTGCTGTGAGTCCAAATCGACTCGACAGCTGTGGGTTTGGTTTTGGTTTTTATAGATACATCCCGATAGCCTCTAAACTAAAGTGAGTAAGAATGACCAACTTCAAGAAGATATTTTAGGGTTTTTATTTTCAGAACTGCTTATGTCTTTCAGCTGCAGCATTTCTAACAATGCAGTTAACTACTCTTTTCATTTAGAAAAGCCTAGAGGCCGTAATAGTTGTAGTCATTGTTAGGTGCCCTCTAGTGAGTTCTGACTCAAAGCGACCCTATGTGCAAGAGAGAGCTAAAAATTTACATTCATCAAAGGATCTGTCACAAACACCAAAAAAACTCAAAGGGAAGAAAAGTATTCTAAACTTCTTACAAAGAATATACCCAAAATATTCTGATATGTATGTGGATCGTGGATCCTAAGCAGTTACTGCAGTAGACTCAAAAAAGTATTGTTTGTTGTTGTTAGTTGCTGTCAAGTTGATTCCGACTCGTATCGACCCTATGTACAACAGAAGGAAACACTGCCGGATCCTGTGCCATCCTCACAATCGCTGTTATGCTTAAGCCAATTGTCGCAGCCACTGTGTCAGTCCATCTCGTTGAGGGTCTTCCTCTTTTTCGCTGACCCTCCACTTTACCAAGCATGATGTCCTTCTCCAGAGACTAATCCCTCCTGATAGCATGTCCAAAGTATGTGAGACGTAGTCTTGCCATCCTTGCTTCCAAGGACCATTCTAGTTGTACTTCTTCCAAGACAGAATACGTATATATGTATATGTATATGTAACCCACACACATATATATATAATATACACTTTAAGAATGTCTATTTTTGTGTATGCATATGTCTGCCTGACCACTAGGGAACTTAGTCACACTCATATGACACAATAGGCCATTACCTGGTATAAGGTTCACTTGGTTTAGCAGAAGAATGCAGGACAGGAGACACAGAATGTCAGTAGGAAAATGTCAGGGTTTTCTTAAGTGGGGGCCCCTATAGTTGTTCAGGAACTGTTTTCACCTCCCTCCTGCCTCACCCTGTGAAGCAAGTCATGTAGCAACTCAGTTTTAAGATGAGAAGACTGGATGGATGGGTGTGAACTACTTTCCCTTGGGTAAACCTCATGCTACACAAGAACCAGTATCTTGGTAACAGCCTGAGACCCCTCGAGGAATGTACTCAGTTGCAAGAAAACATTGTACACAGGGATGCTGAGGCCTGTGATTCCCACAGTTATTTTAGAGTTCACTCAGTCCTTCTAGTCCCAACACATTTCACTAATAATAAATAATGTTGCATGGTAACACAGCTGGCATGCCCTGTTTATCTGAACCCAAAATGTTTCCAGGGAAAAAGTGTTTGGAGAAAAGGTTCAGCCCTGCTGTTACTCCTTTCTTCAGAATGTTTTATAATGTACATTATCTATCAGTGCAGCAGGACATATACATAAATTATGTATTTCAGGAGACATGTTCAACATGTTTATTTCCTCTTAATTTTGGAGACCACCAGTTTAAACAACAGTATTAAGAAGTGAGTCTCTATCCCATTTGTCCTGTTTAGTTTTATTGTGTACCATGATTCTCAAACATACAGCTGTAGCAAATCAGAAGCATGGCCATGCACTGGAACCCCAACTTCTAGCTGGCCATTTCAGCCCAAGGAAGAAGGCCATGGTCATTGCATGCTCCTCGTTTGGTTCATTAACCTTTGTGGGGCATTAGGGCAACAAAAAGCCCTTGATAGAGAAATTTGCTTTATATTCTGTGCTTTAGATGGCTTATTTGCCTCTCCAGGGCTCTGGTCATAAAGCAGCCTATAAATAATCAGATAATAATAAGAATTGAGTTATATAATTATTATTTCAGATAATTACAGAACATTTACTATATGCTAAGTATCACTCAAAATGGCTCACATAATGTATGTCATTAAATGCTCAGAATTTTATGAGGATAGATAAGAATATTAAACACACTTTACAGGTGGGAAATCTGAGACATTAAGTAACTTGCTGAAGTTCATGTAACTGATGGATCCTGTATTCACACTCAAACACTGATTCAAAAATTCGTATGCTTTACTAAAACTGAAAAACAAGAACAAACCATTACCATCGATTTGGACTCATAGTGACCGTACAGGACAGAGTAGAACTGCCCCATAGGGTTTCCAAGGCTGTAATCTTTATGGAAGCTGACTGCCATGTCTTTCTCCCATGGAGCAGCTGGTGGTTCGAACTGCCAGCATTTTGGTTAGCAATCAAGCTCTTAACCACTGTGCCACCAAACCAAACCAAACCCATTGCCATCGAGTCCTTTATTCTTTACTACTAGGCTTTATTTTTCGTAGAGCTTTGTACTTCTGAGATTTTGGTTTACAGTTGAGTTTTTTTTTTCTTTTCTTTTTTTTTAATTTATGGTCTTCACTTACCTGGAGTTGTGATCTATACAAGATGAGAAAAAACTGCAATATCTTGTTAATATAATGAATTATGCATTCTTTTGCCTTCACTTTTTACTAAATTAAAACTGAAAAATATTAGTTCCTTTGTAATTCAAAGTAGAACCATTTTTTTTTAGAGGTTCAGGAGTTCAAATAGACTCTTAAGTTTAAAGAGGATTATATTCAGAGCTTCTCCGTTATTTTTTTTTCGAAGTAAAGGTAGGACATATTTAAGTTTTGATTTTATTTTTGCAGAACAAAATCATAAAAAAGGTAACTTTAATTTGTACAAAGAAATAGCAAAAGACATCTGCAATAAAAGTTATATATAATCAACTTATTACAGGTAGTCCCCGACTTAATGATGCATTCGAATTACGGCGAACCGCACTTATGACTTTTTTTTTTTTACATTTTATCATTAGTAAAACATATTACATATAGTGTTACAGCACATAAGTTGTTGATGGTTTTGTTCTCATATGTTCACTCCAAGATGGTCAGTTTTATGATTTACTGTTCAAAACACTGCCATACAGCAGGCTATGGCCTGGTCTACAATATAGTTGGCGTTGGGAATCATAAGGGATAGAAAGTTGGGCAATGTTCAACTCTAACAACATATGACAGTTGAACTGCGCATGCATCCGACAGCCATTATGCCTCCGTCTTCATTGTTAGGACACTGAAGTTGACTTTTTTGTAGACCAGGCGTATAGCGTGTTCTTACTCAGTGTTTTGGACCATAAGAAGCATCAGTTGTTAATTTGCAACAGAGTTATTCAAGTTTCTTCGACTGTAACACCTGCACTGCTTATATCCCCAACAACATATTTAGCAAAAGAAGTCATGCCACTGAAAGTTCTAATCCAAAAAAGGTGAGGAAGGCTCTAGACATGGATATAAAGATGAAGGTCATTAAGGCCTATGATAATGGAAAGAAAGTCTGCAAAATAGCACATGAGGAAGGACTGTCTCACATGACCGTTTTGGCAGTCGTTAAGGATAAGAGTAGGATTTTGGAGGCCGTTTTAAGAGGCAAGCGCCAATCCATGAGATGGAGAAGCTGTTGATGATTTGGATAGAGGACCACATCCAGAAGAGAAGTCCTATGAGTTTACTGACGATTCAAACGAAAGCATGCAACGTTTTTGAAAATCTGAAGGAACTGCAAGAAGATTACTTCCAGTACTTCAGTGCCAACAAGGGATGATTTCACCTCTTCAGATGCAGATTTGGCTTAAATAAATGCATGTAATTGGAGAAGCAGGAAACACTGGATGTTCAAGCTGCCAAAAAATTTAATAATGAGCTGGACAAGATAACACAAGATGAAGAATACCTGCCAGAACAGTTTTTCCACGTGGATGAAACAGGCTTGTTTTGGAAAAAGACGCCAGAACGGACATGTACTCACAGAGGCGAAGTTGATGCCTGGCATCTAGGCATTTAAAGACAGAATCACACTGCTGTTTAGAGGAAATGCTGCTGGATGTAAATTAAAATCTTTTCTTGTTTACTATTCTGAACAGCCCTGAGCATTCTAAACATTGTCAAAAATGAGCTGTAGGTCTACCTCAGGAGTAACTCTAAGGCCTGGATGATAATTGTGTTATTCTAAAACTGATTTTTAAATTGTCTCATCCCAGAAGTGCACGTGAAAAGAGCATTCCTTTCAAGATTTTGCTGCTGCTTGATGATACCCCAGGACATCTTCCTCGCGTAGATGATCTGAATCAAGACGTGAAAGTGATGTATGTACCTCCTAATACGACAGCTGTGATTCAGCCTATGGATCAAGGTGCAATTACTACCTTCAAGGCGTACTACCTACAGACTACATTTGTTCAGGCAGTAGCTGCAGTGAATGGAGGTACAGTAACATTCCGTGGTTTTTGGAAGAATTATAATATTCTTCAGTGTATCTGGAACATTGCATCTTCCCAGGAGGAAGTTATGGGAAAATGCATGCAGGGGATATGGGAAAAATTGCTGAGTTATGTTAACACTCTCCAGGCATTTGATCAGGATAATACGATGGAAGAGATTGGTGGAAAATCGTCCA